TGTAGCTTTACCACTCAGCGGTCTATGATAGCTGCTTTTCTTTTTTTCAATTATTTTTTATTATTATTGTTTTTTATTATACTTAGATGAAGCTTTACAGGACAAACTAACTTCTCCTTAAACAGTTAGTACATATATTGTTTTCTGACACTGGTTAACAAACCCATGACATGTCAGTGCTCTCCCTTCTCGACCCTGGGTTCCCTGTTACCAGCATTCCTGTCCCCTCCCGCCGTCTAGTCCTTGCCCCTGAGCTGGTGTGCCCCATTAGTCTCGTTTTGTGTTATGGGGCTGTCTAATCTTTGGCTGAAGGGTGAACCTCGGGAGTGACTTCATTACTGAGCTAAAAGGGTGTCCGGAGGCCACACTCTCAGGGTTTCTCCAGTCCCTGTCAGGCCAGTAAGTCGGTCTTTTCTTGAGTTAGAAGGTTGTTTTACATTTTTCTCCAGCTCTGTCCGGGACCCTCTATTGTGATCCCTGTCAGATGATGGCAGCTGTTTTGAGAATCCCTGGCTTCTTAAGAGTTGCCGAGAAATACTCCCATGCATTTTATGATGATGTCGTTGGGACGGGAGACTTTCCTACGGAGAGAGGCACCAGCCGCCGCCCGTGTGCCCCTTCGCAGGCCCATGCAGGAGGAGACCATGGCAGGGGAAAGAAGTTAGAAAACAGACATTCTGGCCAGAGCAGCCCGGGCGCATAGCTAGGACGTGAATGTGCACCCTCTCCTTCCGTGCAGAAGCTGGATGGATGCCTGAACACCAGGGCACCACCCTCACAGAGCCCAGGTCAAGGACAGGTCCCAGTCAGCAGACCACTGGGCTCACCTGCTGCTCAGCCCTCAGAGGAACAGAGCGAAACCTCCCACTTCAGACCCAGCCAAAGGAAGAGCGGGCTGTGCAACGCGGTTGGAAAACGTGTTTACTTCCACTCACTCTGCCTCCAACTCTTGCTGCTTTGGAGACCCAAGGGGCCGCCAGGGTACCCCTCACTGACTCTGATCTTCTGCCTCGTTTCTTGACTATCAGCCCGGAGGAGCCACCCTGATCACTCGGGCAACTAGGCTAGACCTCTACCCAGCAAGGCTCGGAGGGAAATGTGCTGAGAGGCACGTGTGGCCTGCATAAACTGACCCCCGGGGGATCTGGGACCTACTGCATCTGGGGTCACGCTGATAGACTCAATCTGCCGTAATGCCATTCTATAACACCACCGCCTCGTCACGCCCTCCGCACCTCTAGTCACATCTGCTAGGGAGGCTTTGCACAAAAAAAGAATAACTGAGGTGTGTGACCAGGGACAAAAAGCAAGAGCTCGCACTTCCTACAGGACTTCCAGACCAATGGCCACTGTCTGGTCCCAGGACACTGGCCCAGATCTGAGGAGAAAGAAGATGAGCAGGCCTCCTCACTGTTCTTATTGCTTCTTGGGTTGTCCCTCTCAGCTGTCTAAAGTCAGCCTAACCTGATGGGGAATGGCCCTCATTCCCTGAGGAGAAACGAATGAAAAAGGAGCTGTCATGCAGCCGAGGCCCACAGCTGACCAGCTTGGACAGAGGTTCCCCTGGACCCAGCAGGTGGACTGGAGCTCAGGAGAGGCATCTCTCCTCAGGGATCAGCTTGGCAGCTGAGTGGGAAACGAATTGTGACCAGAACAAATGTGAGGGCTGATCAGAATTATACACAGACAGAAGGAAAATCTACCATGTGCCTGGAGTTCCTGGGCACTCGGCTGCTAACCAAAAGGCTGGCAGTTCAAGTCCACCCAGAGGTGCCTTGGAAGAAAGGCCTGGTAATCTACTTCTGAACAGGTCTACCTAACATACATGGGGTCACCATGAGTCAGAATCAACTTGATGGCAACTGGTTTACTGTGTGCCTGGAACTTTCGTTAGGTATTCTCCCACTCAATCTTCACCATAAAAGTCTGTGGTATAAGCTCCAATTTACAGAAGAGGAAATAGGCTTGGTGAAGCCAAGTGACTTCTCGATAGCTAGTAGGTGGTAGGGAGCCCTGGCGGTGAAGTGGGTAAGAGTCTGGCTGCTCACCAAAAGGCCGGCAGTCTGAATCCACCAGCCACTCCTTGGAAACCCTATGGGGCGGTTCTACTCTGTCCTACAGGGTTGCAATGAGTCAGAATCGATTCAACGGCAACAGGTTTGGTCTTATGGAGTAGGTAGCAGAGCTGGTAACGAAACCTAGGTCTTTTGTGTTTGCATCAAAAGCCTAGACTTAATCCTAAATCACTTCCTTTCCAGTGCCTCAGTGTCCCTACCTACAAGGATGAAGGAAGGAGATAGGGAAAGAAGATAAAGGATAAGCAAGGATGTAGGAGTGACAGCAGTACTTTCTAGATGGGAAATATCAAACCACAATGTATGTAAGGGTCAAATTCAGAAAATGACTCACTTTTGAAAACTGGATGCTAAAGGCCCTGGAAGGAGGGCCAGTGCTCCATTTACTTGTAGCTGTCACCTAGCCCTTCTCCGGCAGTGTGTGCTCCTGGTGAACGTCTGTGAGCAGTCAGTGGGCAGGAGAGTTCAAAGCAAGCGGACTCTGGGGAGAATTCTCAAGGAGAAGACAAAAAGTGGGGCCTAGCTCTTGGTAATGGAAACTTTGGAAACACCAGCCCTTTGGGCTAGAAGGGTCCTGCTGGCCAGCCTACTGCAGGGTGGGAGAAGCAGGCAGATGGCAGGAGGGTGGGAGGCACATGGAGCTCGGGCGCCAGTGTGGGGTGAGAGGCAGGGAAGGGGAGGGTCTCATGCAGCTGACCTCCAGCTCTGCCTGCTCTGCCGCCTTTTTTCCCCACTTGGGATGGCTCTGGCTGGGAGGACAGCACCCCCTTTAGAACTGGACAGCACAACTACTGGGTTGACCCTGTGTCCTCAAAGAGCAATCCCGAACTGGGGAAATGGTGCTGAACAGCAAAGAGCGGGTTTAGGCCTCTCCGTCCTGTTCAGGACTGAGTTGGGAAGAAAGACCCTTGGACTGGGTTCTAATCCTGAGCCAGGGCACAGCTGGGCAAGGGAGGTCCCCCAGCCTGCTCCCAAGCCTACAGGGGTTCCCCAAAGGATGAGGGACTCTTCTGGGAAAGAAATGTTGAGAGAGATCAGATCCACTGCAAACAAAGAAAGCTGCCTTCCAGGCAGCTGAGATGAACCTAGAAGACCCACCACCCCCGCGTCCTCCTATCAGCTCTGAGCTAGGCTCAGACACAGGCCTGAATAACTAGGGTGGAGTGAATGAGCAGGAAGAAAGCCAAGAGGATGAAACCAAGAATCAGAGTGAGTCCACACATGGGCTGAAGGGGAAACTCTAAGCCAAGTTTCCACATAACACTCAAAGGAGGTAAGAGGGACGGGAGCTCTGGGCCAGAGGAGGCCAGGCTGCCTTTTTATCCAAGCAGAGGACTGCCCTCCCTTCCTGATCACTAAGTCACCAGGGAGAGCCTACCAAGACCAGGACTAGCCCTACTTCTTTCTTAAATACCTCCCACAGAACTCCTTGCCAGAGAGCACTAACCACTTTGAACCCCTCACAGCCTGTGCTCAGGAAATCCAAAGTCATTTCCCTCCCTCACCCCGCCACCCCGTTGCTAGCAATGGTTTGGCCCTTGTTGCTGTTATTGATGTTAGCTGTCACTGAGTTGGCCCCCAACTCATGGTGACCCTGTGTACAATGTTAGGAAATGCTGCCCAGTCCTGCATCATCCTCACCCGTGGCTGCAGACTGGACTGTTGTGAGCCATAGGGTTTTCACTGACTGAATTTTGGAACTACATCACCAGGCCTTTCTTCCTAGTCTGTCTTAGTCTGGAAGCTCCGCTGAAACCTGTTCAGCATCACTGTTTAACACTCAGGCCTCCACTGACTGGCTAGTGGTGGTTGCACATGAGGTGCACTGGTCAGGAATCGAACCCAGGTCTCCTGCATGGAAGGTGAGAATTCTACCACTGAACCACCACGGCCCCCGTAACTCCTGCAATCACCTTAAGTTACTTATCTAACCTCAGGGTCTGCCCAGTCATGGGAGGTTATTTATTCCCTTGATTTCCTGACAGACAGACAGGCACAGACAACCCACTGGGCGAGGGACACCAGTCTTACAGCTAGGGAATATAGTCACTTCTAGGTGGCATGCCTTTGCTTCAGCAGTGGCTGTCCTAGCCGGGATCCAGCTTCCGGCTCCTCTCCCTGCCTTGGCAGCCATCCCGAAAGCCGGCCCAGAAAGGAAGTGTTAAGTGCCTGGGAGCCCAGCGACACAGCCACGGAGCCAGGGAGCCTCCAGCCTGTGGCACGGAAGGCTCCTCCAGCACAAGCCTGCCAGCCGCCACTTTTGTTGATGGACTCTGCCACATGCTTGGCTGACATGCGATGCTCCGCCCTGGCGGGGCTGGTGCCAGGCTGCTGGCCAAGCACCCGGCCAAGTGCCCGGCCGCCCGCCTGCTGGTCTGGAGACACTATCTGAGGTACACTCTCCAGAGTCCCAGGCCCCAGTTCCCAGACAGAGACAGTAAGGAGCGGCCTCCCCAGCTGGAAAGTGTCAGGTTACAACTGGTTCCACCACTTTCCCCCACTCAGGCCCCATCCCTTCACCCGGCTACCCACTCCCCACTGCACCTCAGCCAGGCACCCCCCACCATCCAGTCTCACCGCAGCATCCTGAAAATCTTCCCCTCAGGTCTGTGAGGGACAATCCCCTGGCTTTGTGAAGAGAGAGTCTGTCAATCCAGTATGTATGTAGAAAGTCACCCATTCCCAGCAAGCAATCACAGCCTCTCCCACCATCTCACTCTTCAGGTGCCTGAGCTGAGAATGGGCAGATAACCAACTTGGAGCTCAGAGAGGAAGGCAAAAGTGCTTCTCCAGTCGGGCCCATCCAGTCCCTGGGAATCCCAATAGCAAAGGGCAAAACTCTGGGACCCTATTCTTGAGGCCTGGCAGAGACAGAGCTGCTGACAGAGGACTGAGGCACACCCGACCCCCAGGCCCCAGGCCTACCCGCTGCATATGAAGCCGGTGGAACTGGTCTGCGATGCACTGAAGCTTTCGGGCAACCTGTACCTCTGCTCGATGCTGCCACTGCCCTTCGGGGGGCTGCTCCCCAAGGGGCAAGCCTGCAGGAAAACTGGCAGGGAGAGGGAGCCGGTAGCCAGCATTGCCTGCAAAAGACAGAGGGCCCATATCTCAGCATTCTCCATAACGGCCCCATCTTCCTCCCCGTGGTCCACACTCCGGGCTGACAGTCAGGGCTGAACTCAACCCTGGTGTGGGAAGGAAGCCGAACCCAGCCTGCTTCATCAGGGTGCACTGCCAAGCTTAGACAGCCTGACTTGCCTGCGCCCCAAGTGTTTAAACTTTAATGCTAGGAGGGGAGAAGAGCAGGATCCCAGTCTACCCGTCAGTGCCACAGTAAAGGCCAGGGCAGTAATACGTGTGGGTGAACTCGCCAACCTTCTGCCTTTACTCAGCAGGCTACACTTGACCACAGGATATTGTTCCTGTAGTAGCAAGCTAAGGCTCTCCTCTAGAAAAGCCCTGGAAGCAGCTTTCTAGAGCTTCTGCGTTGAGCAAAGCAAAGGTCAAAGAAAGAGAAGACCAAAAAGCATCTTCACTTTTTCAGTGCAGCAGAAGTAGGCTGGTCCCAGCTCCTGAAGCTCTGGCCAGCAGCGCAAAAACGAGGGAGAGAAAAATCCTCAGACCCACCGAACAGCCAGGTTCCTCTGGAGACATCCGAGGCGAGGCCTCTCGACCAGCGAGCGTCTCCACACTTACCGAGCATGGGCATGAGAGCCGCCACTAGAGGCGCCCGCCCACCAGCCTCCTCCGTCCTGGTCTCTGTGTCTTATCCAGCTTCTCAGACTCCACCAGAATCAGTTGGCCAGAACTGCCCTACAGGGCAGCGCCCTCTGGGAATAACTGCAGTGTCTCCTCACTGAGCCATCAGACACAAGCAAGATAGCCTCTGAACCCTTCCCCTCCCTCCAAACGCTACTGTATTAAATGAAGAAAACAGACTGAGTGTCTAGCCCTGCCCTTTTGCCAAAGGAGGGCATATGTCTCATAAAACAAGCTATTTAAGCCCACAAATGAAGGGGTCTTGTCTGATTTAGCCTTGGAAAGGGCCCCTCTGCTGGCACAGAGCCCAGGCAGGCCTGACCTCTTTCTCTAGTTCCCCTTCCAAGCACAGAAAGTCCCAAATGACAATTGGGGGCCACCTTCTGCCTTGAGGAACCTTGCTTCTCAGAAGGGGCTGGGTTTTTCCCTTCAATGTCAACACAGTCACAGAATCCCCAGCCTTCCCTGGGGCAACATCAACCACGGTGGATGGCACATCACCACCAGTACATCAAAGCCTGGGCCACTCACGGGGGCACAGGATGGACACGCTGAGGCCCAGGACCCTCTCTCCTGCCCAAGAAAACACCCTCCAGGAAGGGACCAAAGAATAGAAAGAAGGGCAGGGCAGTTTGTCATCTCGGGGCCTGAGGAGACTGGTGAGCAGCAATACCAAGCAGAGAGGCAGGAGGCAAGAGGCAGGGATGAACTGCCCCCACTGCTCAAACTGGGGAAGGAAATAATACCAAAGGGCAGGTTTGGGGAGGGGAAGTCCCCTCTTTCCCCCAACCTCTGTGGGAGGAGTTCTGGGACTAACAGCACTCACCATAAAAGAGTCGCTGGGGCTCCTCGGTCACCCCACAAGGCAGCATGACACCCTGGCTTGGGGAGGCTGGGCTAAGGGTCTGGGTGCCCTTATCTTCCTGGCTGGTGGGTCGAAGCCCAGGGCCACAGCAGTGGGTGAAAGGGAAGAGCTGAAGCCGGCTGAGGGGGCAGTCCAGCTGGCTCTGGGCAAACAGGTCGGGAGAGAGCAAAGCCCCAGGCTGGGTCCCGGGTTCCACATCCTCCAGTTGGAACACATCATCCTCCAGCTCCTCCACACACTGAGGCGGCTCCATCTCCCCTGTCAGTGAGCAACGCAGGCATCTGGGATGCTGCCCCACCAGGCCATACCTGGAAGGACTCCCCCCTTTCCCCTCCCTGCCTTCTTCCTTGCTTCCCACTCTGCTTTGAGGGAGCTGGGCCAGGTACTGCTGACACACCCACCACCGGGGTGACACCCACCCCCAAACTGTAGACTGCCTCATGTTCAGGAACTCCCCACACCCCTTCCCTGGGCCACCTAGAGCCACCCACCCCTTGGCCTCTTCTTCTGATCCAGGCTGGTAACAAAGTTGGACTCTGAGTGTTGGGAGCAATAGCAGGGGTAGGGTCAGCTGCTACCGGCACACAGGGTACCCGTGGAAAGGTAACCAGGGCTAGCCTCTGTGAGCTGCTGAGGCAGTGCAGAAGGGTGCTGTGACCTTTCTGACTGCCTGTCCATACAGTGCGCACAACACACACACACACAGAGACACACACACACAATCACCGTCCTGAGGAGTAACCACCAAACTCTCAGCTGAGTCTGAGCTGAGCTCCAGGCTCAGCAGCAATAACAAAAGCCAGCACTCCTTCTGAGCCAGGTTCCCTCCAAACCTGCTAAGCCCCGCCCTGCTGCCCATCTAGTCTCCACCCCCAGCTTGCTCAACGCAACAAACAGGCTCAGCCTGTGGTTAGAGCTTGTCCTGGGAGAGGGAAGGGAGAAAGGCCCACCAAGTCAGTCCCTGCAGCTCTCCTGGAGGCCAGCAGAGCTGTCTGTCCACCACTGCTGGCCTAGAGGGCAGGTCCAATATCCGGCAAGGTGTCCAGCCACCCCCAGCCCAATCTACTCACTAGCCTCCATGACTTCAGATCCCTGTCCCCACAGCCTAGCATTCTTGGTGGCGCTGAACCTCAGATTGGTACAACCTGCCTCATAGAAGGAAGTGAAATTCAGCCCTGTCTTCGTGACCTCACTTGCTGTCTGTACTATTCAAGTTGTTGATATGAGTTATTTGGTGGTAAAGAAGTTCCTCTTGCTCCACCTGATGGCTCCTGGAAGTCTGAGCTTGGAGCCAACCAGTATCTTATGCTCCCAACCCAGCCCCCTGCATGCACGCACACACACACACACGCACACACACACACACACGCACACACGCGCACACACACACACACACCCCAGGAACCCCTTTGGGCCCCTGGAGCCAGAAGCATCAACCACCTCTGTGGTTAAGGATATAGAGAGACAGCTTGTCATTGTCAGACTCAATCAGAGATCTCTGGGGATTCTGTCCCCCAGTCTCCTGCCTTTGAAGAACAATTCAAATGGTTTGGGGGTTGGTGAAGGACCTGAAGGAACCTCAGTGTAATTGAGAAATCCTGTTCACCCAAATGCAGGCTCTCTCTGGGGTACTTGCCTCAGGCCTCCCTCCCTGAGCTACCTATGGTCCTGTCTCCGCCCTCCTCCCTGGAGAGTGAGATGCCCACCAGGATGGCAAAGCAGGCACACAGTGTTCTTAGGACAGTGCTTCCCAAAGGAGCGGCCACTCCAGCTTATGGGCACCAGGAAACAGTTTCCCGCTGAATGGACCAAGTGCTGTCCTGCCTGTCACCCGGCAGGGGATTCCCTCCTGCCCTTCCACCTCCTCCCCACAGGCTGGCAAACCCAGAGTGACGACCGCAACCTAAGAGAGGGCCCTTCAAAGGCCAATCACAAGCAGGAGTCACTGGTTTTCCCTGTGAAGCCTGTCACCTACCTCTCTCCCTCCAGGCCAAGCCCCAAAGTCAGACCTCGCCCGGGCTGCAGAGTCGGGGGAGGTGCAGTCAGAGGGGGTGGCTCTGAAAGCCCCGGACCCCTTCCACTCCCCACAAGTCCTGCAGGTGGATCTCCTGTGCTGGAAGGTCCGGAAGAGTGCTGGGCAAGTTCAAGTTAAAGCTGGAATAGAGCTTAGAAGAGACCCTCTCCTGCCTCTTCCCCTGAGCTGAAGAGGCCATGTCCAGACTGGGGTGAGGGGGCATACCCTGAGACTACCGCGAGGGAAGGCTTTATTCCTAGCAGGGAACTACAGTCTGCCGAGCGATCGCAGCCTCTAAGGGCTCTAACAGGGATGCTGAACTCAGACCCCTCCCACGAGAAAACAGTGACCAGACACTGGTCCTTGACTGTGGCTGGCGCGCGCGCGCGCGCACACACACACTGCTGACCTGGGTGACTCCAGGGGAGAGTCTCAGCCTCCGAGTCGTGATGCCAGGGCTCCGCGCCAGGGTCCAGCGTGACGAGCACTCGGGGGCTTGGCGCCCAGATTCGATTGGAAAGGAGGAAAAAAGCTCAGCTGTTAACGAGAGGCGCCTTCAGACTCTGCAAGGAGGCAGGACGCCTCACAACTCCCTGCTCTACCCCAAAGTCAGACCCGGAGGCTGGGCCGTTCTTGGGCGCCCAGGTCCGCTGAGCAGTGCACCCCAAGCTCCCCTGCCCACCAGGACCCAACTCCTCCGAGTCCCAAATGTTACCCTCAAATTCCCTCTTGGGGCAGCGCACCCAGATGTGGGTTGTGCACGCCGTTCTCTCACCCCAGCGTCCCAGTCCTTCACGGTTACCCCAAAAGCCCGCAGCCCAGTCCTTCCCGGGACCCCACGCGCAGCGCGACTCCGCTCCCCACTTCCCCGAGGAGGTGCGATCCAACTCCGCCCGGCCCCCGGCTGCCCGGGCGCTCACCCGGCAGCGGCGGGAGGCGTGAGGCGCGGAAAGTGACCGCTGCGGCAGCGGGCGCGGGCCAGCGAGGCAGGCGGCGACTCGGCACCTCGCGGTATTGTTTCCAAAATACGCCCGCTCGGGGCATCCTGCAAACAGCTGATGAGGCTCCGCCTCCTGGCGCGTCACGCCGAGAGCTGGCCAATGGCGAGTGGATCCCCAAGTCCCGGGCTGGGCGGCTGCCAGGGACGGTCACGAATGTGCGAACTTTCCCTTGGAAACATTGCAAGGGGCAGAGCAAAATTCCGACCCCCGCCAGAAGCGCAGTTAGAGTGCCGTCTTCCAAACAGATTCAGTTCTAACACGGGCTCAGAAACACCAGCGAGCCCTGAGTCCTCTCTATTAAAAGGCGGAGAGGGGGCGCCAAAGTGACTTGCGTCCGGGGCTTTGAACCGGTTTGAACCGGTTCAGTCATGGCTGACGAAGCCAAATTGGAACAGACCTGAATTTTTATAATGTGGGTAATCCAGAACGGGAAAAATCACCGGTGGAACCCCTGGAATGGGACACTCGGAAGAGGTGTCGTGAGCCCTTTCAGGAGCCTGATGCGTGAGACTGGATTACGGCGGGACTGCGCAGGGCGACGCATTCAAAGCAGCACAGTCGGCCCCCATTTTTGAGTGGGGCACCTCTGTTTTCCACTCTGCTCAAAAACTTGGCGAGAGATTTGGTTGCTATGCAATGCATACTGCCGCCCTTGTTTTCTAAGAGGGAGATTAGGTTTCTAGCAGGGCTTCCTCACCTCCCCCCACCCGGTTCACCCAAATTTTTAAAATTCAGGTCTGTTCTGAATTCTCTTCCTAGGCCAGGACTCAACGGGAAAGAACCGGTTTGAAGTCCTGCTTTCGTCTTTTTATTCCCGGGAATGGGCTGGAAAATTAAGTCACATCCAGAAAGCAAGGGTAGGAGGTGGCAGGGAGTTTTTAGACTCGACCTCGTGGGGTGAGTCGGAGCAAAACTCTAGCTCCAAAGCTGTGCGAATCTGTTACTGGTGCTGTTACTGAGCGGCATTTAGATCAAACACATCCAAAGAGGCTCTCATGTTCTCTTATTGACCCGACTTGGACAGTTGCAAAGTAAGTATCTGGCATGAGGAGAGATGGCATCAAGAATGCAGGGGCTGCTAGACAAGCACCCTGTTTATGGTACGCTAGGAGAACAGCATGGCCTTGGGTCTCGCCCATCGACAAGGGAGTCTATGGGGTACTTCACAAACATTTATTGAACACTTACTCTGTGCCAGGTACTAGGGATAAGTGCCAAAAACCTGGTGGCTGCCCTCATGGAGTTTACAGTCCGCTTGGACAGGTAGACCTGACAATAATGGAAAGTAGCATGAAAGGTGTTAACTCCAGGGACAATGACTACTGGAGCAAGCACAAAAATTCAGAAATGTAGATTTAGGGAATGCTTCTTCAGGAAGATGGCTTTTGAGCAGGGCCTTGAAGGATGGAGAAAATTTCTATAAGCAGAAACCAGTTGTCAAGTCGATTCGGACTTATGGTGACCCCCATGTGTATCAGAGTAGAACGGTGCTCCATAGGGTTTTTCAGTGGCTGATTTTTCAGAAGTAGATTACCAGGCCTTTCTTCCAAGGTGCCGCTGGGTGGACTTGAACCTGCAACCTTTTGGTTAGCAGCCAAGCACGTTAACTGCACCACCCAGGGTCTCCTCAATAAGGAAAGCCATATTAAACAGCCCAGGCCTAGGGGCAGCAGAAGGAGGTGCTAAATTGGAGAGCTTGTCCCGGGGAGCAGGGGCAGGCCGGGTGATTGGATTGTAGGATGCACGCTGGGATTTAGGAGGGTGCGCATGGGCATGTAGGTTCAGGTCAGATTACAGAAGTGTCCCTGGAATGCCAGGCTGAGGAACCTGCACTTTATTCTGGAGGCAAAGAGGAGCCATCAAAGATTTTCTGGACCTTGAATGACTTCACCAAGCCTGAATTTTAGGACAGATAAGTGAAGAGTCCAGAAATCAGTGAGAGTGAGCCAGTCCTGCAAGAGACTGGGGGAGCGGCAGTGGCGTCCTGACCATGTAGGGGCGGTGGGCATTGATGGTGCATTGACCACCAAGCTGTAGACTGGTTGAGTTCAGTGGGTCTGGGACCCTCAGCCCAGGGGAGCCTGGAGTCTCCTTTTTCCTACCCATTCTTTCCCTAACTCCCGCAGAGGACACCTGAAAGAGAGTGAAGCAGGCAGACTGGGGGCTGTGCTTGCTAAAGTAGCGAAATCCTGTCCCCAAAGGACAGAGAAGATGGAAAAGGGAAGGAGGGAGGGTCAAGTTTGGCCAGCAGCCTGGTCCCCTCTGGAGTTGATAGATGTCCAGCTGTTGGTGCTTGGAGCCAAAAGGAGGTACATTATTTTACCGGGAGGCTTGGCCAATGGGGAGTGCCAGAGCTGGTCAGCGTGACCTTGAACTCATGCCACATATGGTAGGGAGATGAGGAGACCGAGCCTCCTTGTCAGAGTTTGTAGAGCCCTCCATCACTTGCCAAGCACACACGTCCCGCCCCTCCTTTCTTCATACTGGCTTTCCTCCTGGGCCATTGTGTCAAGGTGACCAGTAGAGTCCATGGGCATTACTATGGGTCAAGAGTGGAACTGAAGGACAGAGAATTTGTCCTCTAGGGCAACACAGGCCCTGCTGGGGGGACCATCATAACTTTATTGACCCACTCAAGCTCTCTCTGCTTTCGCACGACCTAGCAAGGTGGAATTGGGTCCACAAGGCAAGGAAGCTGATAAACAAAAAGAAACTAAACCTGTTGCTGTCGAGTCAATTCCAACTCATAGCAACCCCATAGGACAGAGTAGAACTGCCCCACAGGGTTTCCAAGGAACGGCTGGTGGATTCGAACTGGCGACCTTTTGGTTAGCAGCCAAGCTCTTAATCACTGTGTCACCAGGGCTCCGAGGAAGCTGACAGAGGAGAGTTTTTACCTGGCATGCATGTACTCACCATGCTCACCAGGGTCATCTGCTTGAGGGTCTGTGAACCCCTGAAACTGCGCTCAATTGGCTTTTTTTGGGTACACACATTTTTCTGTGTGTGAGTGTGTGTGCATGTGTGTGGGTGTGTAGGGGATGGCTTCATAACTTCCAACAGATTCCCAAAGGGGTCTATAACCCTATAAAAGGTTAAGAATCACCATTGTAGGGCAATGAGGGCACAGTGAGGCTGGGGAGCAGCAGGGTCATCTTAGTGGGTCTGGGAAGCTTGCAAGATAGAGGTGAGCCACACCCTCTGACCGACCTGACCCATTGCCATCAAATGGATTCCGACTCCTAGCAACCCCATAGGACCGAGTAGAACTGCCCCGTAGAGTTTCCAAGGAGCGCTGGTGGACTCCAACTGCCGACCTTT